CGCCCGGCTATTTTTTGGTTGCAGCCGTCATTGTTGTTTTGGCGGGTCCGGGCTGGGGATTCGAACCTGCCACCTTAGGTGTACGTGGCTGACGCCTTAGCCGGTTGAGCTATAGGCGCCGAGCCTCCATTTGACATCTTAAAGCAATAAAAGTTCATATTTAGTAGATGTTATAGTAAATGCTTTTTGGTTTAGAATGAATTTTTATTATGTTACAATTGGAATTTATTAGTGGCTAGATGTCATCAAAAATACATATTTTTTGTTTTATCTAAGCCACAGAGATAAAATCCATGGTATTTCTTTTTTTCTTTAAAGCTGGAGATACAGATGACCCCCCAAGAATTACTCAAAACCCTGTTATCAACGGGAACGTGGCCCTGAGCGACGGGCATAACAACACGGAGGAAGACATGGAGGATGGTAAGTACCACATTGCTTACTTGGGCTGGGCAGAAAGGGTCAGAAATTCAGGTCCATATTTTTTTCCTTGAGTACTTCTGAATTTAAGAACAGTTAATTTAAAAGAGGTTAAATCTGAGGAAAACTTAAGATCCTGTTTTCATTTTGAGTTTCAAGATTGCCTACAAAATTTCAAGGTAAGTTGATTCTCCCTAGCCTAGGCAAGACGGTTTAAGTGCAGTAGTGTGTAATAGGTGTGTATTCACTCATGCCTGTAGTTCTCCAGCCATGTTAGGGTTCAGAACAACAAACAGCATATCTTCTTTTCCTTTCCTTTTTGTTTGCAGCAAGATACTTTCCAGACATTGGAACTTGGCTTTCCATTGCATTCTCATAGTAGTGTGAATATCAGTCCTTTGTAGCTGGTAACTCCTCCCCACTCCTGATAGGTGTGAAATCTGACTCCAGCTTGGGCCTTCACTCTCCCACACTGTTGGTCTGTAGATTCTGGGTGAGGAAACATATGCATATGTACATGCATGGACGGTTTTGTCTAGGAAGTCATTTTTTTCTTTTTAAAAACTATTTCTCATAATTTGTTAGATTATGTGACCTAAACATTCACAAGGTCAAAATTGTGAGAAAGGAGCAGCCAGTAATTGCTTTATGCGGCCCCTGGAATCTTGCAGTGTAATATGAAACCATGTTCTGTCAAAAAAGCATGTCCATCAATCCTCATGAGGGTTGTGTCCTTCCCAGGGGAGTAACGGGGCAGTTGAAAGAAACCATCAGTCACGGGCTGCACCACCAGAAGGACTGCTGTTCAGACCTCCTGCCAAAAGTTCAGCCTCCATGAGAAACTGCAGCCGTAGTTGAGAGTTCTCTCCCAGTGCGGTTTACCCCCTGGCAGCTGGCTGAGGCAATATCTGAGGAAGGTAAAGAGGCGTGGTCTAAACCCCGCTGCTTTGTTCCCTGTGGAGTGCGCTTTCCACTGTAGACTGAGGGCAATGGTGTGGGTGTGGTCTCTTTGGTTGTTGGGCTTTTGGTGGTTTTATTTTTACACCAGAGATGCCAAAAGTGATTCAGAGAGTGCATTTGGGAAGGCACGGCCAGCTCTGAGGTGCCAGGTGTGTGTCTGGGATCACTTTTAGTTACTTGAGCAGGTACCGGCCCGACCTGATGAGACGCTCCTAGTTTTCACAGAGCCATCAGGTGCTCACATCTCCTACTCTTCCTTTAGGGGGAGGGCTTGGGGGGAGACAGAAATAATGTTGTGGGGGGCTGTCCTGTGCATTAAAGGATACCAGCATCCCCTGGCCCCTACTCTGGACCCACAGTCATGATAACTAAAAATGTCTTTAGACTTTGCCAAATGTCTCCTGGGGGGCCAAGTCACCTCAGTTGAGAGTCACTGTTGCCAGGGCACAATGTAGATAAAAATCTCTTACTGTCAAGGCACATTTTACTAAATTATTAGTAGTAGTTAATGGTATTGAACATAGGGCCTTAAAGTGGAAACACTCCTGTTGTGAATTCACAAATGGAAAAAGCGTATTATACAGGAAAGTAATCTTTAATTATACTTTTTCCTGAGTTAGAATTTTAGTTGACTGTTGAAAGACCCAAGGGATAATATCTGTTTGAGGGCAAAGACAATGGGAGGGAGATGGTTCTCATTCTAGGACCAGAAGTCTTAATCGAGGAGAGTATTTTCTTAGCTGCAGTATGTATTGTGAGACACTCTTGTAGGGTGTGAGTGTGTTGTGGAAAGCGTTTAGAATTCTAGGAAGTCTGAGGTGTGCTATGTTAAACAAGCTTATTTACTGTAGTACATCTCAGAGCTGTCAGTATCATAATATACACTGCTTCTCCGAAAGGAATTTTTGTTAATGATTCCCCAAGACTCTGGACTTCAGTATCCCTTTCCGAACTGAATGTCCTTTGAACGTTTGAAACTAGGACACAGAATCTGGGAAACACTGGATCACAGGGGGTTTTTTTTGTTGTTGTTGTTTGGTTTTTTTGTAGCCTTATTTCAATGAATTGACTATGTCAGGAGGACTTTGTAGTAAGGGAAGCTGCCTGTCTAAGAAGCTATAGCTAACAGAGACATTGGTCCATGTATAGTTGAGGAAGAGAGCAGTTAAAAATTCTGTTAACACAGTACAATAGTACATATCTACCATGCATTATTTTAGTTTTTCATTCACTTTTCCCCTTAAGATGGCCAAGGGTATTTTAGCACAAATGCAGCCATCTGAAATCTACATAGTTCTAGATTTAGGTTATTCATCTCCCTGAAACCTAAGTAATTTCCAGGTATTGACTAGGACTTGAATAAAGTCAGTGGCTATTGAAGATTGATAGAATGACTGCAGCAGTACCGTTTCAGGAAATTTCAGGCTAACCTCTGATTTAAGAATCTGAAGCATTCTCTTTCTGTCCTTGCCTTTGGTATCTGCCTTACAAAGAGATTGGACTGAGAGTGAGCACAGTGGGGACTTTGTATTATATAAGTGCAGTGGCCACTACAAAGGTTTTGGGGGCAGGTTGGGAAGGTAGTGGGTTATCATGAAGTCTGGCTGGGTGTACGTGATGACTGCAGCTAGCAGAAACTCCTGTGTTGGCATTTATGATAAAATCTTGTTCCAGTGGCATTTAGGCAGATTTGTCTATTTGTAGAATAAAGAGTGTCCTTCATAATTCTCTTTTAATTTTTAAAAAGTTTAAAATTACAGACCCATAGGATATTGCAAAAACACTACATTGGATCTCATGTTTTGTTGCAACAGTTTTCTTGGACAAACACCTTTTTATTGGTCGGTCTTACATAATGTCATAGGAGGACAGTTGGGCTAATCTCATCAGTTGAAGATGAGTTTCAAGTCTCCATCTTGCTGCAGGCCCTCCTTGCGTGACCCTTTGGTATTTAATGTGAATTTTCAGTTATTCTGTTAGTATGAAGAGTTTAGAGGCACTGAAGTGAAGTTTTTATTCCCGTGAAGTCTCATCTAACCTTTCTGTATTAGCAGAATGTATAAAATAATTCTTTTCTAAAAAATGTGCTTCAAGTGTGAGGCAGATGTCTGGTCATGTAATCCAACAAGTCAGAACTGACCACTGCTCAGAGGCACACAGAGGAATGTGCTGTGACTAGCAGTGCTGCTAAGTTAGCAGCATGAGTGCCTTGCCGAGTTTCAGCCCCGCTTGGTTCTATTTAAGGTTCAGAGAATACTTTAGGATGTTTACTAAAGTGTAAGGTAAAAGAACAGAAAACCATGTGTGTGGTGAGTTTTGTGTATATGAAATTTAATCCTACAAGAAACTGAATTATACAAAAAAGATGAGTTAGAAGGCTGGAAGAGAGGCCACCCTCCCCACATAGACCTTTTAAATCCTGGGCTGGCTTTCTATCAGTTGGTTGGTCTGTATCATTCTGTGTATATGGCCTGCCGCTCATCTGCGTTTTATGAAGTGGTGTGTTACACTATAAGAGTAACATTTTAAAAACCAGAAGGCAGGGTCAGTGTTCTTAGTGTCTCAAGAAATCTTGAGTGGAAGTCTCCCTTTGTCGTTTTGTAAGACATTTACCCTCAGCGAGCCTGTCTCCAGCCTAAAAAGTAGAAATTAAGTTATATCTACCTTTATCTACCTTGTAGGATTTAAGTGCTCTGTGCTTGTGCTCTGTGTCTGTAAAAACACAGGGAAAAACTTCTCCTAAGCCATCAAAGACATCATTATTTTGAACAAGTTCCTTGCCTTTAGTCAACTTTTATCCCACAAAGGAATTAGGGTATTACCTAACACTTAAAAGAGGCTTGTATTAATACTTCTCTTAGCTGAGATTCACCTCTTTCAGTTGTTCTTCCTTTCAAAGTGCTTCTGCTGTAAACAATTTAGTAGGGTTATATGGATTAAAAGAATGTGGGATGAAGAGTGTTTAAAAGAAGGGGAAAGTGCTAACGTCACACATACTTCTGATTTTCCTTGTTGGTAAAGAACGCCACCCTCTGCTAAGGACTGATGGACATGTTTTCTTAAGAGCAAACTCAGTGCAATTTTAGTACAATGTTAAGCAGCGGATTTGAGAACTCAGTTGTTAGTGAACTCTGGAGGCTGATGGGTTGTGGGATCCCATAGTGACTACTCAGGGGTTTGAGGATAAGGAGGGGGGTGTGTTCTTATTAACATGCTTATCACCCAAGCCTGCAGGTCTCATTTTGTGTTGTGGGGAGCTGGGGGTCATAGATATCAAAACAGCCCCAGATTCTAAGCCAGGAGGGCTGTGTAGGGACTGCTTATTACTCTGGAGGGCAAGGCCAAGCATTGTGGACCTGGGGTCTACTGACAGCCAGTCATCTGACATTGCAGCAATTTAAGTTTGTTTTATGAAAGTGTTGTTTGTCAGCACACCAATGGGGTGGGTGCCGGAGGACTGTCCCTTGACAGGTGTGATTTCAGAAGCAAACACTGGGATGCTGCTGGGTTTGTGAAGCTGATTGACCTGTAGCCATTGGAAAATGAATAGGCACCATACCATCAGCAGTAAAAGATGGAATTTTAAATGAGAGCTTCATTTGAGCCTTAGCTAAGAGGCATTGTATTGGCAGAAACCTTGATTTCTTAAACTTGCCTTTGGCTTTATTAACAATTTATATTCATATGGAATAGAATACCACCAGCCTTCTTCCTTTCTGTTTCTTTCCTTCCTTCGTTCCCCCCACCCCCCTTTTTTTCTTCCCTTCCCCTCTCCACTCTTCTCTGCCCTCCATTCCCTTATAGGTAGTCCAGGCTGGTGTTTCACAGAAATTGTGAACTAATGAAGTTAACATTTGTTTTTAGGCTGACTGGTAGCTGTCTTCTTGCCTCTGAGCAGTGTTGTGCTTTCGGGCAATGGCTATCCCCTCCTCTCTGGAGTCTTTTAAGTGCCTGCATCCCCTGCTCCCTGCATTGCCCTCTCTAGCCTCGGGCCAAGCTTCAAGTCTTGCCCTCCACTTGTTTATGAGCCATTTCCCTCCTTTCTCCCAAGTCACTCCACTCACCTGGAGCCCAGGATTACTTGGAGGTTGAAATTTAGTAGGCATTCTTACAACACCAAAGTCTAAAAGGAAGGACAAGTGTGTGTTGTTAGCCCTCTGAGTTGGAACTCAAAAGGAAGGATTCATTCATTCAGAAACTCTGTGTCATTTCAGTTTTAAGCTTTTAATAAACTGGAACCAATTTTTCCAAATAATTAAGTTTTTAAGTAGCTAGATCAGGATTGTATAGAACAGTTTTTTCCAGTTTATGCTAGTGCTGTCAATGGCTGGGCTCCATGATTGATAATGTTTTTTCTTGCAGACACCAGTTGGCGCTCCGAGGCAACATTTCAGTTCACTGTCGAGCGCTTCAGCAGACTGAGTGAGTCGGTCCTTAGCCCTCCATGTTTTGTGCGAAATCTGCCATGGAAGATTATGGTGATGCCACGCTTTTATCCAGACAGACCACACCAAAAAAGCGTGGGATTCTTTCTCCAGTGCAATGCTGAATCTGATTCCACGTAAGACCGTTTAAATGATGCAACTACAAATCCACAAATAGTTGTATTATATTTTTAGAAGCCAAATTTGATCAGCCCAACTCAATTTCATTTTAAATCGTCTTGCTCCTTCTATATAGCCCTTTGATTTTAAATTAGATGTTTCCCACTGGTATGTATAATATCCAGACAAGAAAAGTATATCTTTGTCTTGAAAATATAAAACTAAAGATTGAGTGTTAGAATCTGCCAGCCCATGGAAACAAGGTCAATCTGGACTAGCTGACCATTGAGTTGCCAGACTTAATTCTTATCTACCAGTAACATCTATCTGAAGGGGAAATCTACAGTTGTCAGGGTCAGACATCTTGTACACTGTGTGGGAGCCATGCCCTAGAGAGCACTCAGTAAGTACAAATTAAACATTCTTTGAGGGATTTGCAACATGGGCCTCTTAACTTCAGGAACATTTTAAAATTTATGTAGTTTCTTTTTTTTTTTTTTTTTTTTTGAGATACGGTCTC